GATAATAAAACCCCTCTTCTATTCCATCTCTCTTCCTGCCTACTCTTCTGAATTGAATGGATGAGTCATCTGTCCTTTTGCTTATTCCTCTTCAGTGATGATTTATCATCGTGAACCGAAACGGAGAGTGAACTTTGGCATAATGGAATACACTCTGAGTCCAATCTACTCTCAGGAATTAAACTAGGAAGCCAAAAGTATTCCCATAAGTTGGACACAACGAACTCCTCTCAAGTTGGACATAATGAACCTTTGCCAATGAAAAATTCATAAAGCATTCTGATGCTCTGGAAAAAAAATTCCGAAATCTGATACTCGGACGAGTTCTCACGATCATGTCAAGAAGGCAAAGTTCGGAATCCTACACCCCCTCCAATGAACTCCATGAGCGTTGAGCATGATCTCCTATGCGGATCAAACACCAAAGTAGACATTCTCAGGCCTAGGCGTTTTTTCCCAGGTCATTGACTTCACGCAGCGGGTGTTGCAACGCTAGAGGTCCAAGAAAAGAATGATGGTCTATTCCAAGTGACCAGAATCCCGTATGAAGTAAGCCTCTCGCCTAAATTGTCGGACCCATAAATGGGGAGAAAAAAGTCGTGTTGTGCACACACTTTCTTGGGACGGTCCCAGTTGTTGTTTCGATTTCCGAATCGATTATGAGCTGCACCTTCCTTTTCCTTTTTCCGTCACAGTTCATATATGGAAGGCCCTTTTGTAGAAGAATCTTTTCTTTATGATCCCAAGGCCCTGCGAAATTTCGAGTTTAGGCCTTTCCCAGATAATTTCCAAGTATGTAATTTAAACATCAAAACGTTTTTGATGACGTATCACGACATGAGGTTATGTGGTTGGAAAACAAAGCCCAGCGGCTGTGTCATTGGACTGCCGTTTGTTATGTAATCGCTAATACATAAATATTCGTAGGCATCACCTGGACAACCTAGGCTGGACATGTGACGCTGTGGAAAAACAAGATGAGACAAAAGCCTGTGGTCGTATGAATTGAGATTAACGACGGTATCACGGATCATACGGGAAGCTGTCGTCAATTATCCGAGCAGGGTTAAGCGAAAATACCGCAGCTCAGTTTAAAACAAGTAAGTCAAAAGTCGGGACCACTGGGATTCTTTCGGAGTGTGAAAGACTACTTGGAGGCTGACATATGAAAGTTACTATAGGATTCACCAATAGGGTTTATTTCCCAGTTCCAAGTTGAAAAATTCGGTAACACAGTTTGGTTGGTTTAAAATCTTCGAAAGTTTTCTTGATAAGAAAATACTACTGATAAACTGAAGTAACAAGTTTATTTCCACCTTGGCATGATCGAATATTGGAATCTGGCTCTCGATCATTAAGATAAAGGATTCCAAAAATGTAAGGAACAAAGAAGAAAGATATCAGAGTTGGAACCGCGAATAACAGACAGCTACTACGACGTGTGCACGCGCCGCAACCGCACGCATCCTAGTCGGTTGCACACATAGATGTGTCATTCCCATGACGGCTTTACATATATAATAGCACGTACCACAGCCGATTAGCTGGGCTCGTAGCATCGTTACCACGGATAGATTACTATTAAATTCACACAACCCAACCAAACTCGCCAGATCTCAGACTCAGTGGTACCAGACATGTCCTCATGAGCCAAAATACCAATGCACAGGTTAACTAGTACTCCGAATTAACTGCAGATAGCTCCCATAATTCGACATAATCATTCAAAGTGTCAACCTTGTTCGTGGCGCATCTCGAAAAAACCAGCGTCAAACATCTCAGTTCTCAGTAGGTAATGCGAAAACATTCATTTCCATAAAACAGTTGCTTCGCTGAGCTTCATTGCTTCGAATCTTCTTGTGTCTATTCGATATGTGAAGCTCTCGTCTCTGTCCCAATCTTTATTAGTTGACAACGTTTCGGGCATAAGCCCTTCTTGAAGTCTACTATAAGCACAAGTATAAGCACATTTATAGTTACAACAACATAGACCATCAAATAACACCTTTATAAGAACAACGGTTACCCATGGAGAGAGTTGAACAGCCGGGTTGGGGGTGGAATGGGACATACTAATTAGTCTCGGGGTTAATATACAGTAGCGCTCAAAAGTGTTCGGTGAAATGCATTGACGCTTTTTTGTTCATAACTTTTTTCTTAGTAGACCCAATCGGGCAAAATTTGGATATGTTTAACTAGAGCATATTTCACTTTACCCACCACTATTTGACTGCAAAGCTGCAATATCCACAGATAGAGCAAGGTGTTTGTTGTGAAAGC